ATTAGACTCAATGGGTTATTTTAAAAATGAAATTAAGTTGGAGGTAGGAGAGATGATGAGGGGAGGGGTCCAGGGGTAGCAGGGGTGGGAATGAGAGTGGATATGATCAATATACATGTATAAAATTCTCCAAAAATAAATACATTTTAAAAAGAAATGGCTGATACACTCTTCCCAGCCAGCTATGTAATTTGGCCTCAATTACACATGGTCTCCTGGATTTTGGGAGGGCTAAAGGATACAATCTGGGGAAGGCTAGGAAGAGAAGGCATGACCCAAGCTGGGTAAGGTTTTCCAGTGTGCATACCCTCAGGTCATACATACACCTCAGGAACCCCTCAGTTATCTGCGTAAGTAAACTCAGTAAATTCATTGGTTCCCCAGTAAAACTTTAATCAAATATTGGCTTGACACTAAAACCTTAAAAGGGAATAAGCATTGCTTAGCATACCCAGGAAAAGAATTCTTACAACAGATGGAAAATTTGTTAATGCTATTATGTCTCATAATTATTTAAAAAAAAAAGAAGAAAATGAGAATGTAAAAGATGTTAAAAGGATATGGGAATGGAGATATTTTTCCAAACAGAAAAAATGAGAAATGAGCCCAAAAAAGTGATGGTCTGTGTAGGTTTGGATTTTCCAGATGGACTTGAACCAGTGTCCAGTCTACAAAGAGGAGGATCAACTCAGAAGAAACATCTCATCCATGCTTCCAAATGAAGCCAGACAGGGTTGAGCTGGACCTGTGACTTACCTTCACATAGATGGAACTGGTAAAAGAAAGGAGCCAGGGCCTCCTCCCAAACCCATGTGACCCCTGAGGAACAGATCCTCAAATGACCTTAAGTGTAAAAATCAATTGATTTATTTGGGCCAACTATATGGTCTTAAACACACAAAAGGAAAGTATAACCAAAGAGTAAAATCATCAGTATATTTCTTTAAGAGTTCAAGGGATTACACTTCTCAGACATTAGGCTTAAGTCTATATAAAAAGCTATGTAGACAATTATTTCTCATTGATGATTTTGTTCCTAATCAGAAAGTAATACTTCAAATCTTGGTCTCCAATACTGTGGTGCCCACCTGTAGCTAAGGGAGACAACCAGCTATTGTTCTAAAATGATGGGTACATTTGTTTTCTCCCCCTATTTAGAAGCCTTTGAGGGAACTGACACTGATTCTAACCACTCCAACAGCTATCAAAATACCTGAAAGCAAATCCTAAATCCATCACTCTAGAGTCCAGCCTTGGAAGACAAAAGAAAAATGAGGAAGAACCCAATAGAGAGATGCTTTTGGAAGCCCTTGTCAAGAAATTCCAATGGACTCTCATATGAACATTTGAAAATTGCTCTGTTCTGACTTTTTTCTAGTTCCCTGTCTAGAACTTGTAATGCTAATTACTCTTGCCTTTACTTCTCCTTCACATCTCCTATTCACGATTCAAAGACTTTCTTTTCCTCCTTGAGATAAGAGTTATGCAATTTGGGAGTCTTTTAGACAGACCCACTGAAGGGGTACCCCACTTGCCTCACCCTGCATCCCTATTCAGCATGGAAGAAACCAGAGTAGTCTGTGTCCTGATTTCCTATCTGCAAGTTGGGTAACCTCTTCTGAGGATGGTGTGATAAGAATAGGAGGTCAGCTAGGCAGTTAGTGTAAAAAGATCCTAAAGAAAAGTAGCCAGTTTCTTGGCTAAAAGTCACAATGTCCTTGGGCCCGTTAGCAACATACTCCATTCCAAAGGCCAAAAATGTCTAAAGTATTTGGGAGCTTTTATCTAATCCTTAAAAGATTTTAAGGTTACCACTTCAGAGGGGAAAAAAGCCCCATAAAAGAAGAAAAGAAGAAAGAGTATATAAAGTTATCAGAAAGAAGTGATGGGGAGATATGGGAGGAGTTGGAGGGGAGGGAGTGGGCATGGATTCATATGCATGCATGAAATTCTCAATAAATTATTTAAAAAAGAAAGTATATATTTGTAAATGTTAACTAATTACAAGCTAAATATATATATTGAGATACTTTTCTCAATATATATGAAAACATACCTAAATGTACTATTTTTCTGATAAGATTATTGGAGAAAAATAGTTACCGTTAATGTAAACAATAGTTTTTTATGCTCAAAAAAAGGAAAAAGAAAAAAATGGTTGATTACATACAAAACGGAGTTTTATTTCGGTTTCAAGAAATATGAAGTTATGCCATTTGCAGAAAAATGGTTAGAACTGGACAACATTAAGTTAAGTGAAATAAACTAATTTCACAAAGACAAATATTGCATGCTTTCTCTTTATGTAGAATTTGAGGGAAAAGGGTATGAAAATAAGTGGGGGCTTTGGTATATGGAAGGAGAAAAGGAGATGAGGGAAAAAGACAAAAAAGGATAACAGAGGGGTGAAAATTATCAAGGTACATTATTTGCCTCTATGGAAATTCATATGGAGCATCTTATTTTGTACAGGTTTTTTTTAGTTAAAGAAAAATACCTACCTTTGGACAACTTAGGATACGTAAGCTTCAGGTTCTTTGAAGCAAGTTTTAGTGCAAGGATGAAGAAAAGTGTCCCTGAGCACTTTGCTGTTTTGTAGGAGACGGTCCTTCACCCTGCTTTGTTTTCTTAACACGGAGTAGAGTATCTGTGGTATTTGAACAGCTCATAGTGTGTGTGAAGAACTGAGTTTTCTACCTGACATTGCTAGGGGAAAACCATAAGAACACCTCCTATAGTAATTTTTCCCTTACAAGTTTTTTTTTTTCTGGTGGAAATTTCTTCAGTTCACTTAAGTGGAATTAAGAAAACACAATCACATTGTGAGAGAAAAAGAGAAAGAATTGATACACTGGGAATAAAAATCAACCTTACTCTTCCAATTATCCCACAAGCACTGTGCTGGCTAGCTTTAGTGTCAACTTGACACACCTGGCTGGGTTGAGGGACCCTCAATTGGGGAATTGCCTCCATAGGACTGGCCTGTGGCTATCTCTGTGGGGCATCTTCTTGAATGTTGAGTGATGTGGGAGGGCCCAGCCCACTGTGGGTGGTGCCACCCCTGGGCAGGCTGAGCAGGGGCCAAAGAGCAAGCCAGTAAGCAGCGTTCCTCCATGGCCTGTGCTTCAGCTCCTGCCTCCAGGTTCCTGCTCTGAGTTCCTACCTTGTGCTGCCTGATGAACTGTGATCTGGGAGATATAAGATAAAATAAACCCTTTCCTCCTCAAGTTGGTATTAGTTAGAGTATTTTGTCACAACAATGGAGAAACAAATCAGGACAAGCACCACACCTGACAATGTATATGTATTGAACTATATTAGCAACTTAACCTAAGTTACTCCATCTTGCTCAGAATAGCTATTTTTTACATCTGGCTAACTGCTTGTTTTCACTTCTGTAACTCACTTGCTATTTTAGGTCACCTTGACACAAAGTATAAGACCACCCTGTTACTGTATGACCACCCGGTAACTGCTGCTTTTAGCTTTCTTACTATACTTGTTATGGCTAGGAAGTTGACTAATTTTAAAATGACAAAGTTGATTGCCTGGTTATATGACTGTATCACTTGTCTGTATAATGATGATTGGTTGCTGATTAATAGAGTCAAAGTTCTGCTATGTTGTACAAACCTGATTGGTTCACAAGTGTCCTGTTTAAATAATATTTCTGTAATCCTATAAAAACTCTGACCCGACAATGATCAGGGCTGCGTCTACTCCTGAGATAGACAGCCTGGCGGGTTGAAATAATAAACATTTACCTAGCTACTTTTCTTAAAGTGGTGCTGATGATTTTTTTGTGAACTCCAACATATAACATGTATAATGCTCAAGTTATAAAAAAAAAAAAAAAAACTAATGCTTTTCAAAGGCTACAAAAAATGCACCAAGATTTATGTAAATTAACCATAGTAAAATAAAGATATATTTGAATAAAATCTCTCAAGAAACTTGGCTACCAATCTATATACCAGTTATTTTTATTATTGAGCTTCCAGTCTTTGCCCTTGGAGAAATCTTAGTTTGTAATAGCATTTTTATTATCTTCAAATATTCTTTCCATAAATTATCCCTCCTGCTGAAAATTCACAAACCATCTCCTTAATGCTTGTGACTTTGGGTCTTCATGTGATTTCCTGGGTTTTCAAAAATTATCATTTTAGGCAGGGTTCTCAATGAACCTTCTGTAGTTAGAGCCGAAACCAACTCTCCCAAGGTTCTCAGTGAACCTACTGTAGTCAGAGCTGAAGCCAATTCTCCCAAGGCTGCATGTTTGCAACATTTGTTAAGAGCTCTCCTCCCATATAGAATGCAAAGTCCCTTCTCCACCTACTGAAAAATTTCCAGTTGGCACAAAACTTTGAAGTTCTCCCTAAATAATTTAAAGCTCACAGGGATCTGAGCTCCTAACATACCCATGGTCTATAGCAGTCACCTGCATATTGAGAACTTTCCAGAAGCTTTAATTGAAATGCTCTGGGCCTCATTTATCCACATCCTTTGACCTTCTGGAGAAACTATATTTCATTATTTTATGTCCTTACATATGGACTAAGAGTAGTGAGTCAAGAAATAGCTGTTCTAATATTTTCTTGAACTTTATATTTTAAAGTACCATGTTTTGATTTATTGGGGGGGTGTTTATCCTTAATTAACTACCTGCTGATTCTGATGCTGCTTATGCCAAGATTATGTTTTGCTTGGTCACAGACAAACCTGTCCCCAGATTTCCTTATTTACAAATGTATGCAAAATTTGGGTCCAAAGGCAACTCTAATTTTTCTCTTCCATCTTCAAAAAAATGAATGGTCTATTATGTCTGTGCACAAACACAAATATCCATTTCATCTAAAAATGACAATAACATTAAATGTCAAAATCCACATTTAAGCAACCATAGCAGCAAAGCACAATTTCTGGAAGTTAAAAACAAACAAACAAACAAACAAACAAACAAAAAAAAGACCAAACAAAAAAGCTCCAATTAAATTGTTTACCTTTCAAAACTCCACTGGTAGTCTGGGCATCATGCTTCCAACTTCATCCTAAAGAGAAAAAAGCACTGTTTGAAAAGTCTTCCTCCTGCCACTCTCAGATTGTGTCTTTATTTTCTCAGGTTTTCCTTTGACACACTTTTCAAACTAACGGAAAAACTGGAAAAGTTTCTTTAACTCGCAAAATGTCCAATGATGTCGTAAAATTCTTTGTTAGTTTGCCCAGTATGATTGAGAAAATCTCTGTTTCTTTTTCACTGTTCTCTTGACAGCCTGATTTGCCAGTTTGGTTTCCACTATGTAAGTTTGCTGAGTCTTTGTGTAGCTTGATAATATATATATTTTTAAAAAGTCTAAATAGTGCAGTTTAGCTTAAATAAGAGTAGCATTGTCCCGGTAAAGCAACCCCTTACTTTACAAAACTTCGGGCAGAAGAATGAGTGATAAAGCCTTCACCAATAAGGAGTGAATAAGAGTATTAAGTCAAAGTTTGTAAACCAATCCTTGGATGACAGAGGCGGGAATTTCAAAATGGGGCAGTCTTGTCCTTGGAGTTTTCTTAAAGTGGTATCACTGCATTATTGAAGTTGAAAATTGCCAGCGTTTGTAAAAGCACCAATAGAGTTTCTCTTTCTGCTTTAAATGAGGTGAGAATATGAAAATTGATTCTCTTCAAAAGGAGCGCACTTCTAAAGGTGGTCATACCATTACATACAGCAAATTTAATACCAGTTTGGAGAGTAGGTAAAAGATATATGAATTGGAGTGCACTTCTAAAAGTGGTCACACCATCACATACAGCAAATTTAATACCAGTTTGGAGAGTAGGTAAAAGCTATTTGAACATGATTCATTTTTCATGATCAAATTTTGGATGCTAATGTGCCAAAAAACATTTTTTTCATAAAAAAGGAAAACAGAAATTAAGAAGATGACATTATTTTAAAAATTGTTGATTTTTTGGTGTCTCTTCAAATATTAGCAGTGAATCTCATTTTCAATATATTTTATTGTTTGATAATTGATAGATAAAAAGTAGCTGTATGATGGATAGGGTTGATTAGGAGAAAGCAAAGTTTATTAGCAAAGGAACACATGGGACAGATTCCCTTCTGGGCAAGGAAAATGTCTGCCCCAGGGTCATGAGCTGGGGTCCTTTAAAAAGGGAGGCCTCTGCTTCCTGCAGAAGGCAGGAAGATGTATTTTTTTTTTTAAGTTGTGGGGGGAGTGGGAGAGTGGGACTGTTAAAACCTGTCCTCTTTAGAGATCAAAGGGGAAGCCTGCTGTGTTGGCCAAACAGTGGAAAAAAGTCTGCTTCTCTTGACTTCAAAGACCAAGGTGCTTATCAGCTTGGTTCACTTTTCTCAGGAGCATGAGAAGTCCTTGAGACCCTGTTGGTGATGGGGCAGGGCTATCTGAACCTTAACAATAATTTCATGCAGTATATTTTGATCATATTCACTCCCCTACTCCTCCTAGATCCATCCCCATCTCCCTAACCCCCCTCCTCCTCTTTTTTTTTTTTTTTTAATAACCCATCTGTTAGGTCTTCAAAATGGCAGAATGCTGCCAAGCCTCCCAGAATGTCAGGCCAACAGGCTCCATAACCAGGAAAAGGAAAATCAAAACTTAACATTCCTCAGGAACCAGTCTCAGCAAACCCCTCTTGCAGAAAAGTGCTTTTCACAAATCCCCCTGGCAGAAACCAGGTTTCAAAAATGCCCCCAGCAGAGACCAGGTTTCAGCAGAAACCAGGTTTTATAAAACTCCCTGCTTATTAGGAAAATTACAATTCCCTCATCCTCCAATTCAATGGAATCCCCCCGGCCCCCAGCCCAGGCAAGAGTCTCATGGAAAGCCACCAGCCTCTAACATCCTGTAAAATCTATCCTACTTCTGTTAGTTGCTATTTATCTTTGAGAGGTAGCCCAGCAGTTTGTCACTAAACTGTTTTTCTCGTTCACGGAGTGGTCCTGTTGGGTGGTTTTTGTTGCCCACTTCCATACACCATCAAATTCAATCTGTGCTGCCTAGAGACTCCTAGGTGTGGGGCCATCTACTGCAGCATGATAGATTGACCAGGGACCACGCCCTTAAAGGAAAATTACTCTCCCTTCTGAGAAGCCATCAATTGTCTACAGCTCTTCAGTTAGGGGTAGGAGCTTGTGAACCCCTTCCCCCTCCATACTAGTACGCTGGCTTGATCTTGAGCAGTCTTGTGAAGGCAGCCACAGCTGTCTTGAGTTCATGAGTGCTGTGGTGTTATCATTTACAGAAGACTCTGTTTTGCTCTGGTCTTCCAGATTCCTGGCTCTTACAGTCATTCTGCCCCTTCTCCAGAAATAGCCCCTGAGCCTTGGGCTGGGTGTGAGTGTATTGAAAACAGATGTCTCACTTGTGGCTGGGCACTCCATAGGCATTTATTCTCTACACCTTCACCATTTGTGAGTTTTATGTGTTAACCATCATGCACTGCACAGAAAAAAAAGAAAAACAAAATAAAACTTCCATGATGAGGTCTGAGAGAGCAGCAAGTCTTATTATATGGGTTGATCCTTAATGCTCCAAGAAATTTTCATTTCATACTAACTGTAGTTTACTTATTTTAAATCCGGGGTTCGGGGGACCCAAGGGATTAAGAAACTCCATAAATGGTCTTAATACAGGACATTTACTATGTCATATATTTCAGTAATTCCTAAAGATTAGGTTTAATAGATAACTGATATTTTATTGTATCTCGTTTTGTAACTGTTATTTTTACTTACTATAGCTTTGCTTTCTAGATTATTCATTTTAAAAGTAATTAAGCTATAATTGAAGTAGTTTATTTAAAAATTGAGGATGCTTAACAATAGGTCCCTATGCAAATTAAGAATACATTCTAATGGGGAGTGGATTTGATCAAAACTCATTATAGGCATCCATTAAATGCTCAAACAACAAAATGGGACGTTTTAGAGCATTTTTAAACGGGAAAGTTGTTATAACAATGGAACACAGCATTTAAATTTTTTTCATTTTCTCTTTTCTTTTTTCCTTGGTACTGGAGACTGAACCTAGGGCCTCTGTTGAGTCATGCTTCCCCTTCTTTTAAAATGCTTTTCTGAGATAGGGGCTCACTAAATTGCCCAGTCTGGCCTTGAACTTGTGATCTTCCTGCCTAAGTCTCTGAGTGGGTGAGATTACACACTTGCTCCACCAGATCAAGCTGACTTTTTGTCTTCACGAAATATTTATGGACTGCCTACTCAGTCATGCTAGGAACTGCCATATTTTAATAAATTGTTTTTATCATTTCTCACAATAGACCCCGTGTTATTATTTATTTATTTGTTTGTTTATTTATTCTTGAGAGAGTGTATTTATTTTTGAGGCTCATGTAGCTGAGGCTGGCCTTGAACGCTTGATTAGACTCCATCTCCAGAGTACTGGAACACAGGTATGCACCACCATGTTGGCTAGGACAATTATTTTTAAAGGGTAAAGACTAATTCATCTTCGGACGTTATTAATGAACACAGCAAGACCTTAAATCGAGTGCTTGAACTCTGCTGACTAATCTTGCTTACGTTCCGTAAACCCATCAGCTTCTGTTTAAATCTGTCAGACGAGCATAGTAACTACAGGGGATTGCTGTTAAAGCAAATGAGAGAATCTGTGCACAGCTCTCGGACCGCTGCCTGGTTCACAATAAGCTCTAAGCATCGAGATTTACGGTTGTCATTCCTCAATGAGAGGCTGATCGACTGAATATATATCTATGAATGAAAGAACAGGTCGGTTACTGGCGGCTCCTGAGGTTGGCGCCGGCTGAGTAACCCTAAAGATGCTCAACAAAACACCCACTCTTGACACTCAGCGCCAAACCGGATCCGGAAGTATGAGCAGAGCCATGGGCGGAGCCCTGGAGGATGTTACGCTCTCTGCCAATAAGCGCTTGGCTTGGAAAATAACTTCCCCTTTCACCTATCCGTGAACGCTGAGGCGAATTGTCGCGAGCATTCGTCCTGCCCGCCACTGCTCCCTCTGTCCCAAATCCCAGTAAGGCCGGCCGGCCCCGCCCTCGGCTCCGCCCACGCTCTGCCCTGCCCCGTCCAGGCCCCGCCCCCCAGTACCCCGCCCTCTAGCAGTCCATCCACTGTCTTCCAGCACTACCTATGTGGAGCACAGTCCAGCAAGCGCCGAGGTGAGTCCGCTGAGAGCAGCCCGAGGCTCCCAGGTCGCAACCGGTAGCCCGGCTCCCGCCGACGCCTCGTATACCTCGCCGCAAAAGCGTCTGGGCCTCGGCGAGAGGGCTGTTTGGCCCTTGGGTCACACGGGTGCCGGGTCCTCCGTGGCCCGAGGCCCCTGGGACCCGAGTATCCTAGAATCATGGGGTCTGAACCCCTGCTCCTAGGCGACCTGTTGCCGAATTCTTATGACCCTAGAATCTAGCTGACTTGGGCAAAACGGCATGTGTGTTGCCCAAGACTTCTACTAGCATTTTTATGGAGAAAATAGCCTTTTGCAAATGCTTATGATACAGTTTGTAAGTGTTAGGAAGTTGAAATGGGTATTTTACCAAATGAAGTATAGGATTGTTGGTTAAAGGGACTCCTCCCTCTTAGCATACTTTTGCTTCAAATGTATGGAATGTCCTTGAGTTGGGAGGTTTTTGTTTTTGTTTTTAATGACAAGATAAATTGGTGTTGAGCTGTCAGAAACCCCATACAAGGTGCCATTGTGTGTAGTTAATGTGAAACATACCATTTAACTGGGCAGGAGGTGGTGAATTTTGGAAAGGGCAGGAAAATTAGCTCTTGAGAGGCTGTATTGCCAATGAGTGCGTATTGGAAACCCAGGAGTGTTGTTGGTTTGGAAGCTTTTGGATTTCATTTGAATGTATCTTTCAATCTGTCTTTGTAGCAAGATACATTTCAACAGAGTCTAAAGATGTTTTTGAGACAACCAGTCCAACGTGGAGTATTCAGAAGGAGAACCATCTGATTACAGTGAGTAGAGATTTTGGATATAGTTTTACTTTGCAAAGGAAAGCCTTCCATTTCTATGAGCATTGCCTACCTCATAATGATGAAGTATTGGGTCCACTGAAGTTCATGAAAGGCTGCATTATAGGTAGAGTAGTGCCCAGACTTTGGAATTAGACCTTCAATGTGGCAAAATACTTCATCATGTCAGGTGTATTATACCATTACACTGCATAGTTGTGAGGATAAAGATCCTTATGGCAAATAGTAAGTTTATAGAGTCTGTGAGCAGTCTCAAGACGGCTAGATGAAAAGTCCACCTTGGAACAACTATTCTACGTGTTCTGATTCCATTCATTCATTAGCTGTCTAAAGGATAAAAGTCCTTTGGATACTAGATGCAGATATACAAACATGAAGAAAGCAACATCTGTGCCCTCAGGGTTTTATAGACTTCTGGCTAACTTGACAGTAAACAGGTGTGCCAGTAAGTATGCAGATTGAAAATTGTGAAAACTCAACAGCTGACTTGCCCTGAGAGCATACCAGAGATGAGCTTTCCAGGTGAAGAGCAGAACAGCAAGCACTGGGAGGAGTTTGTTAGTTCTGAGCTTGGTGAGTGTGGTAGAGGAGCCTGGAGAGGCAGGCTGGGTGATGGACAAGAACCCTGAAGGCCTTCTAATAGTTTGTTTTTCTTGATCTTCTGAAGGATTTATTTAGTAAGACATGTGCTGGGGGGGAGAGGGAGAGAGAGGAGAGAGAGAGAAGAGGAGGAGGGAGGCTGGGAAGCAATGAGAGAAGTGATTGCTTGATTGCGTGTATGGTTTCAAAGGCTCTCTGCTGTGATGAATATGTTGGAAGTGATTAAAGGGATATAGGGTGACAAGTAATAGAGTTGGCCTAAGGCAGGACACGGTAGTGGTGTGTGATTTTGGCAGATGGAGAGATGTGGCTGGATTTGAGAGATGTTTTGGAAATGGAAATGACTTCCAGCTTTCTGGCCTGAAGTGCTAGGTGAATAAAGGCTGCTTTCCTCCCATATTTACTAAGATGGGAAAGACTGGGGAGGTGACTGCTTATGATCATCAACAGCTGTCTGGGAATATATGATGTTTGAGATATTTGTGAGACATCTAAGCAACTTCTGGTTTACTCAGTGAAAGCTTTGTCTTCTACACAGAAGAATTAATGCTGTTTGTCCTGTAGGTCCCTTCATGTTGTAGAAAGACATAGTCCAAAGATAGGGTGCCTTGCACACAGTCACATAATATGTCTCATAAAGTAGGTAGAAATAAGAAAGTATTGGATTCTTAGGTTACATTTGGGCTGTTATCAAACACTTCATAGTAGTGCTTTTTTGTATAAAATGGGAACTGCTGTCTTCTGTGCTAGGAATTAAGGATTTGGGTAGAAGAAAATAACCCCAACATTATAAAACCTTAACTTATTGGAAACTTTGGGACATACTTTGTGAAAATTATTTTCCTTTTTTTTTTTAACTTTTACAAAAACTTTATTGAGAATTTCAAACATGCATATAAGGTGTTTTGATCAAATCCATGCCCACTCCCTTCCAACACCTCCCATATCTCCCCATCACTTTTTTCTTTTTCTTTTCTTTTTTCTTCTTCTTTTGTTTATTTTTATGGGGCTTTTGTGTACTCTAACATTCCCCCCTCTGAAGAGATAGCCCTAAAATTTTTCCAGGACTAGATACAATGTCCCAAATACTTTTGACATTTTTGGCCTTTGGAACAGAGTATGTTGCTAACAGGCCCAAGGACATTTTGACTTTTAGCCAAGAAACTGGCTACTTTTCTTTGGGGTCTTTTTACCCTAACTGCCTAGCCAATTCCTACCTCCTATTCTTATCACACCATCCCTGAAGGAGTTACCCAAATTGCCAATAGGGAATAGACACGCAGACCGCTCTGGCTTCTTCCATGCTGAACAGGGATGCAGGGTGAGGCAATTGGAGTACCCATTTAGTGGGTCTTTCTAAAAGACTCCCAAATTGCATAACTCTTATCTCTAAAAGGGGAAAAGAAAGTCCTTGAATCATGAATAGGAAATGTGAAGGAAAAGTAAAGGCAAGAGTAATTAGCATTACAAGTTCTAGACAGGGAACTAGAAAAAAGTCAGAACAGGGCAATTTTCAAATGTTCATATGAGAGTCCATTGGAATTTCTTGACAAGGGCTTCCAAAAGCATCCCTCTATTGGGTTCTTCCTCATTTTTCTTTGTCTTCCAAGGCTGGACTCTAGAGTGATGGATTCAGGATTTGCTTTCAGGTATTTTGATAGCTGTTGGAGTGGTTAGAATCAGTGTCAGTTCCCTCAAAGGCTTCTAAATAGGGGGAGAAAACAAATGTACCCATCATTTTAGAACAATAGCTGGTTGTCTCCCTTAGCTACAGGTGGGCACTACAGTATTGGAGACCAAGATTTGAAGTCTTACATCTGAGCAGCATTTTCTGGTTAGGAACAAAATCATCAATGAGAAATAATGGTCTAAATAACTTTTTATATAGACTTAAGCCTAATGTCTGGGAAGTATAATCCCTTGAACTCTTAAAGAAATATACTGATGGGGCTGGAGAGATGGCTAAGAGGTTAAGAACACTGACTGTTCTTGCAGAAGACCCAGGTTCAATCCCAGCACCCACACGACAGCTAACAACTGTCTGTAACTCCAGTTCCAGGGGATCCAACAGCCTTTTCTGTCCTCCACCGGCATTGTACAACATGAGTGCACTTACCTACGTGCAGGCAATACAAGAGTACACATAAAATAAAAATAATAAATAAAAAATATTTTTTAAAAAGAAATATACTGATGATTTTACTCTTTGGTTTTACTTTCCTTTTGGGTATTTAAGACTATAAATTCCTCCCTAAAGAAGAGGACAGGTGACTCATCACATTTACAGGACATTTTGAGACATGTTCCATAGTCCCCTGGAACTTGGTTGACCTTGGAGGGCAAGGGGCAAAAACTGTCCTTTAAGTCCCTCTGACCACATTAGTATAGGCCTTAAAGTATGGCTGTTAAACATCCAATAAGGTTAGTTCCACCAGTCTGATACTTTTAATTATCATGTGCTATGTAGATAAGGCTTGGATAAAGAACCAAATATTCTCAGATAAACATTGACTAGATTATATTTTCTTCCTTAAACTAGTTGACTAAACTGTGACCGTAGAAATTTTAATCTTATGTGTACATTATTTTTGTCTCATCCTTTATAACAAACCTAAACAGACCTTCATCACTTGCTTAGGCTCTCTCATTTTTTTCTATTTTGGAAAACATCTCAATTCCCATATCCTTTTAACATCTTTTACATTCTCATTTTCTTTTCATTTTTTAAAAATAATTATGAGACATAATAGCATTAACATATGAATTTTCCATCGGTTGTGAAACTTAAAAAAGATAATTATGAGACATAATAGCATTAACAAAGAAATTTTTCGTCAGTTGTGAAACTTCTTTTCCTAGGGATGCTAAGCAATGCTTATTTCCTTTTGCGGTTCGAGTGTCAAGCCAATGTTTGATTAAAGTTTTACTGGGGAACCAGTGAATTTACTGAGCATACTTACCAAGATAACTGAGGGGTTGTTGAGGTGTGGTATAACCGGGTCATATGGAGGGTTCATTTTCAGTTTTTTAAGAGCTCTCCACACTGTTTTCCTTTAGGGGTTGCCCAAGTTTGCAATCCCACCAGCAGCGAATGAGCATTCCCCTTTCTCCACATTCATGGTGAGTGTGCTTAACATTTAAGACAGTGTTTTCCAAAGTGGCTGTACCATTTTATGTTCCTGTGAGCAAGTGTGAGCTCCAGACCAACTCGTGCTGTCTGTCCTTTTCATTATAGCCGTCCCCTGAGTGGCTAATGGCATCTTGTGGTTTGATGATTTGTGATATGGGCCACATTTTTATGTACTTTAGCTGTTTGTATGACTTCTTTTGGTGCAGTCTATTCAAATGTTTTATCAGCTATTTAATTATTTTCTTGTAATTAGGTGTGAGAGTTTTTTATGCTCTGACTACAAGTATTCTACAGATAGGATTTGCTGCTGGTCCTGGCCCCTGCCTTGGCCCAATCTGTGCCTTTTGATTCCCTTAATGGTGCGTTCTGGAGTGATTTGATTCCTTACAAGCTGTTTCACATTTTTATTAACCACTTGTCAGTTGAGGGGCACTTAGGTTGCTTCCACCTCTTAGCTATTGTGAAAAGAGCAGCAACAAACATGGTTATACAAGTGTCTCTACAATAGGATAAGTCCTTTGGGTATATACCAAGGAGTGGTACAACCGGGTCCTGTGTTAGGTTCATTTTTAGTTTTTTTTAAGCATTCTCCACACTGTTTTCCATAGAGGTTGCATGAGTTTGCAGTCCCACCAGCATTTGGTATCATTTGTTCTCTTGAAAATTATTTTCTTGATTAACAAAACTTCTTTTCTTTTTCTGTTTCAAAGAGAACTGGGAGAGATGTCTAGAAAAACAGACTCTTTGAACAAAACTCATTCATAGTTTCTTTTCTTTTTCATTTTCTTAATATCTTACAGAATCCTGTCAGTCATTGTAACATGACTATAAAATATCATTGTGAAAATGACACCATTGGGCCTGGTGTCAAGACTTGTGATTTAATTCCTTACAAGCTGTTTCATCTTTGACCAGTGTGGACGCCCTGACTTTGTTTCCTCTTGTGTTAATAGTGAAGTTTGTTCAGCCCTGTGCCTAGTTTGTAAGATGACAAATATAAGTTACTTCTCTTAACAATTTTGGAAGTAGGAAAGAATTTACAATAATTTATCTTAGACTCAGGCTCTGAAACCAACATATTATCTGCTACATCTACTTTTTCTATGTGAGTCAACCTAGGCCTACAGAGATTATAATTCAATAATACACGGCTCTTGTTCCTAACATGGTGTTTCTGGAGTAGTGACTTTGGTGTTTCTTAGTAGTGACTATTTCTTTGCTATTTCTGATAATCTGAAAAGCTGTAAAGAAAAGTTTAAAAAGATAAAAGAGAAAAAATTTGGAATATGAACCAGTATTTAGTAGGAAGTGAAAAATTAAGCTGTTAATGATATAAGAAAAAATAATATATATTAAAGTTTTTGAGATACCTTAAATACAGAAGTATTTGCTCATGATGAAAATGGGGCTTGCTGAATTTGATTTTTTTTTTTTTTTGGTCTTTTTGAGACAGGGTCTTCCTGTAGCCCCAGCTGTCCTGGAACTCAGTATGTAGACCAGGCTGGCCTTGACCTCACAGAGATCCGCCTGCCTCTACCTTCCAAGCACCTGTGGGCTGTAAGAAATCTTATAGTAACCAGGTTTGGTGGTATTCACCTTTAATCCCAGCATTCAGGAGTCAGAGGCAGATGGATCTCTGTGAGTTCCAGGCCACACAGGTCTACATAGCACATACCAGGCTAGCCCAGAGATACATAGTGAATCCTGTCTCAGAAAGAAAAAAAAAAAATCTTACACTGATTTTTTTTTTTTTAAATCCTCTTTATAGAAATGGACCAGTTTTGACAAGATGTAGTGCTGCAGTGTGCCTGTGATGAGATATATTCAGTCATGGCATCTGAACTTTGTAAGACCATCTCTCTGGCAAGGCTTGAGAAGCACAAGAATTTGTTCTTAAATTACAGGAATCTTCACCATTTCCCATTGGAGTTACTGAAAGATGAAGGACTGAAGCACTTAGAGAGGCTGTATATGAAAAGGAACTCCTTGACAACCTTGGTATGGTATTATACTGCATTAAAATTCATTTGTAAATGTCCTGACCAGGATGCATTGTATACATCACGATATTCAGATAATGATGTCTGTCTGTTCATATTAAATATGCAGGCAATACAGATACATAAGTTCTTGGTAGCTGTGCCTTCATTATCTATTCCCATGTAATTAGGCTGCAGGAGGAATGTGCATGAAAGGAAAATACTGCTTAATGTATCACTGAGAAAACTAGTCCTTAACATCAGGTCATATGTGCATCTCTTAGGGCCTGTGCCTTTGTTGTATGTTAAGTATTCCAGGTGATTTTTTTTTAAAGCACAGTGCCTAACAGCCTAGTTAAAAAGTAAACAAAAGAAAGACCAACAAGTATGACTCTGAATTATAGGCATTAAAAAGAGAATGATTTGAAGATTAAAGTATTAAGGAGACATTTGGGATGTTTGATGAAGCCTTGGTGTGCTAACAAAACAAAACTTTATGATTGCCTTGGGAAAATCAAAGTGCTTTTGAGTTGGAATGTCATATAACTTGTTGGAAAAAAATTTTGCTGCTGAGCCAACGTTTGATTCATTTGGCATGTTCTAGAAGTAAGCTAATAGTTTTCATTATAACCTAAATTTTATTACGTGGAAGTTAAAGAAACTATTTAAATTTGTCAAGAGAATTTCCTCATCAGAATTTTTTTCCCACTGCTTATTATAAAATTTGGTCCTCATTTTAAATGAGTTTACCTTATGTGACCTTTTCTGGTTTATACAACTTGATTTGTATCTTATACTTGAATTTATGATTTATGATAGCTTGTTTCTATATTTTGAATTTGCCTAAATATTTGGAAAGTATATCATATTAGGGATGTGTGTGTGTGTGTAGTAGGTAGAAATCATTACAAAGTATATCTTTGCTTTATTTGGAAAGAAATGGGTATGTATCTGTTTAGAGTTTGGCATATTGGTACATATGTGGGGTTGAATGCCTAGATTAAAATTTTTTTCAGTTTTTCAACTTGAAAAGTTTGCAGTTATATTTATACTTTTTTTCAAAATCATTATTACATGATATGAAATCACATTTACCCTAAGTTTTCTAACCTTTTGGGGTAAAGCTAGTATAAGAAATATTTTTTCAGAGCTGGAGAGATGGCTCAGCAGTTCAGAGGACCCAGGTTTGGTTCCCAGCACCCACATGGTGACAAACAACCATCCATAGCTCTGGTGCCAGAGGATCCAACGCCCTCCTCTGGCTTCCAAGGCACTTCACACATGGGGGTATGTTTACATACATGCATGCAAAACACTCAAACAAAATAAAAATATTAAAAAAGAAATTTTGTCAAGAATAATAGCCCCAATTTTCCCAACGTGTAAAGTGTATACAAAAGTATTTATGAGTACATTAGTTTCTAACTACCAATAATAGCCCAACAGAGTAGACATAAAAGTTAATGTAAACTTTTGGTTTTCTGGAAATTTCTGGCAGCATTCAGTTTAGGAAAATACCTAAGTATTCACTGCACAAGTCAGACAGATGTATATAGTGGCTCATAGCACTTATCTCATTTGAATTTTTTTTTTTTTTTTTTTTTTTGAAGCAGGGTCTCCCTATAGCCCCAGCTGTCCTGGAACTCACTATATAGACCAGGCTGGCCTTGAACTCACAGAGATCCACCTTCCTCTGCCTCCCAAATGCTGGGACTACAGGCGTGCACCACCATGCATGGCTTTGAACATCTTTTTAGTGTACAAAATAATGGATTCCATCAAGACAGTTCTATACATATATGTCACCATACCCTACTCTTGTTACCCTGCTCTCCCTTCCTCCCCTCTATCTGCTCCCTTTTCCCCGAGATCACACCCCTTTTCACAGCATACATTTCAAGTTCATGTTCTGGCAACCTCTTAAAATGATCAGAGATTAAATTCCTGCACTATGTGTATAACAAAAGGCATTGTATGTCTCTTGTTTTCCCTTAGCAATTAATATATTTGACTCGTGTGTATGAAAGAGCTTTATAAACTATAGAATACTATAAAGATACACAGGATGGTGGAAATTGTAGCAGTTATCCCAGAGCTGCCCCATTTCCTGGTTATGTCAGACACCAGACATGGTTTTTAGAATGGTTTCTGGTGGTAAAATATAACTCCTGTAAAAGGTTTAGTTTATAGAATTTTACTTGCAGCTGCAATAGTCCTATGCTACTGTCGAGCATTGTTGACTGTATAGATGTCTCAAACATATTATGGATTCCTTGGTCTTTTGTTAATTATTTTTAACAAGCTTGGAGGACCTGCCAGTCATTTCTGTTTTCATGTCGTTTCATTCTTTTCCTGGTCCACTTTTTCATTGTGTTATGTGTTATCTTTTCTACATTTTCTTCCTCTGAGAGGCCACTTTGTGAGAAGTGACCAGTGTGGAACCTCTGTCCTCCTCCATACTGCCCTTCAAGCTGCTTGGGTTAGCACAGTATCTTGCATTTGTAGGATTGTTTTTCATGTCTTCAGAATTTAGGGAGTGCCCATATTTAGAACTGAAACATGGGAAAAACTGTAAACCTAGAAGAACAGACATTTTCATTTATTTTATGCTGAGTTTATTCCCATGTCATAAGTTGCTCTTCAGTTCCTTCCAGGTATTTTTCCTTCTGTGCACCCTCCTCTTCTGGCTTAGGAACAGTCTCTTCCTTTTCAGTGAGGCTCATCTTCATGTGACAGAGGAGCTCAGCTGTGGGTTAATTGACCATGAGCTCTGTGAGTGTGGCAGCGTATCTTGGGTGCATTGTTACTTCAGGTGCATTGTTCACCTGGGTGTGTTCAGTGGCTAGAGAATCCATGTCTAAACCTCACATTCAGTATTGCTGTCTGTGCTTCAGACACCATTACATCCCTGGAATGGCACATGTCTCGGCTTTAGAGTGAAGTCTTTCAGATACTTGGTGGCTTTTCAGATATGCATATCATTCATGGTCTGGGCAGCTTCATGGGTATTATTAAAGTGAACACAAAGAATTGAACCTCTTAATGTGTATGATTTTTGTAGGGTTTTTCTGGGACAAGGGTAGGGAACCATTTTCATAGGTTACCGAAGGGTGTCTAGATGGGCATAGACCACCCTGTGTTGCCTCCAATGACCTGAGCCTGCCATCTTTTAAGTAGTTCTGTGGCCTGCAGAGGCCTGCTTTACTTGTGCCTTGGAATGCCACTTCTTCCTCCCCTAGCCCACTGTCCTGGAACTCAGAGCCCATTGCTTCACTGCCAGTGCCACCTGCATCGTGAGCTCAGAATGACAGTGATGAAAGAGGACTGAGCATTAGAAGACAACCAACTTTTTCACTTTTTAATTATAAAAATGATGCTTGTCATTAAGTCAGACAACAACTGTGCATAAGTGGGCAACTTGCAAACCATAAAATGTACTGCTCACATTTCTGAAGGCTGAAGTCCAGGCTCAAGGCACTGTGCTGAGGACCAGCCTTCTGCTGCATAGATGGTGTCTTCTATGTCTTTACATAGTGGGAGGCCGAGGGAGTCTCTCTTGAACCTCTTTTTATAAGGGCACTTATTCTGTTCATGGTGGCTCTGCCCTCATAGCCCAGTCACCTCCCAAAGGCCCCAGCTCCTGATGCCATCACCTTGCGGAGAAGGACTTCAATGTGAATTTTAGGATATGTGCAGCATTCAGACACAGAACCTTCTACTCCTTGGCTTATATTTATGTAACTGTTCTACATTTCTTTATGTTTTTCCTTTCATAATAAAGTAGATTCATACTATATACATTTCTCTGCAAATTCCTTTTTATTTTTCATAATGTTATTGTGTTAAGCTCTAGGCTTATGTGTATGTGCATGCTTGTATTTAGGAGAGTCTCAAAGGATGAATTCTGGGCCAAAAGGTAAACACATTTTACATTTTAAAATTCTTTGAAGTAAAATTTCATTATTCAGTATTTATTTGTAGCACTAAGAGATCCACAAACTTTTTAAAACGTAATGTAAGTTGGTTTATGTAGGAGCCCATTTATATAGTTAATAGGTGAATACAAAGTAGGATTGGGCATAGTGGTCCACTCCTGTAATCCTAGAACTTAGGAGGCTGAGGCAGGAGGATCATGAGTTTGATGCCAGTCCAGGCAACCAAGACACTGTTTCAAAAGAACCAAAACCCCAAACTTCAAAATAAAAAAGAAGCAGTTAGGAAACATGATTTTGGTCCTTAATATTTCCTTTGAAAATGTTTTAAAGAGTTGTGTTCTTATTACTTTGAATGAAATTCAGGAATCCAGTCCCTGGTATTTGAGGTAGTCATATGCTAAATTAGACAGTAGGAGTAAAATGGGGTTGTGTTTGTTGTATGATGATAGAGACACAGAGGTAGAGAATGAATAAACAGATGACTAAAGTAGAATTGCATAAAGACTAAAAGTTTGAGGGCAAGGACTATGTCTCCTTACATAATTTCTGTGTTGCAAGACTGAAGACCTTTTGAATTAAGATCCTATTTGTGTGACACTGATCAGTAACTTTGACAGGTGCTTACGAGGAAGAGCATGAGTCACTCCCTCAGCATGGGTTTATCCAGCACGTACTGTGTACTCAGCACTCTTCAAGGCACTAGCAATAAGATACACAATGAAATAAATCTTACTGACCTGGAATTTTCATGATCTTAATTTGTGGAGAGTTCAAGTCTGTATGACTGAAGAGTCACATGCATTTTGGCTGGAGAAGGAGTAGAATCGTTGGGCTTTTAGTGATTAGGCAGAGGGATTAATGGGAAGCAAAACTCAGGCCCAAGAGCAACAGACCCAAATTCTATGTGCTTTATCTCTTGGGGCCTCATTTCATTTATAAAATAAAATAAAATACCACAGGAGCTTGGAAGAATAGGAAAACTGTCAATGTTGAAGCAGAATTCCTTATTGAGTCTGTTCCCTTCTTTTTATGGGGGAAAGTGGGGACTAGATCTTGATGAAGTGAGCACCATACACGTGGATCT